GGAAGAGACGGGGTGAAGCTCCTGCCCTACCTGGTACTTCTTCGCTGCCCTCAGCCTCCCCACCTGAGACACACTGACACATCAGGTGGATCCAGTACCACCTGTCCTCCCAAACTCCTGGGAAAGCATCAGTGATCAGACATACAACTCCAACCCCAGCTTCTCCAAGCAGCCACCTCTCAGAACCACCAGGCCTGAGTTCTGGCAAAATTGGAATGTGCTTAACCCCTGCCAGCCCATGCCCCTCCTTGAGCCCACTTCCACTTTCCCCAGGCCTTCTCCCCACTTTCTTCCCTCCCTCCCTTGCGCTCTGCTCTCCCACCCACTTTTCTCTGTCCTGCCCCTGCATTGCTTATCCCCAGCCCCAATTACCTGCATAGCGCAGGGGGGCATCCTTATCCAAGGCAAAAAGCGGTGGGTTAAGTAGGACAGTGTTATCATTCTCCATGACGATGCCCTGGTACTCCGCCTCGATCCATGGCTTGTGCTTGTTGGCTGGTCCCACCCCAGGGAGAGGAGAGGAAACACCTGTGAGCAGGACCACCATTCCCACCCGAACCCTTCCCATCCCAGCAACTCACACCACAGCATCATCGCCCTTTCCTTCCCTGCTGGAGGACCTTACAAAAGGGAGGACTAAAGATAAGAAATCAACTATAGAAGTCAGAAGGTCTGTGGGAGATCAGAGCCTTCTCCCATGGCAAGTTGGACTGTTTCCATGGCAACTGCCTGCCCTGGGGGAAGGGGGCCACTATCTCCCCTGGGAACCATAGTTAGAGATGGAGAATCTTCTTTAGGGACCTCCTATGTTTAGAGGATGGAGACTGGGGACTCGGGAAGCAGTAGTGAGCCCTCAGAAGGTCCTGGAAAGGGAAGGGATAAATTACAGGCAGAGTTAAGACTAGAAAGAGAAAATCTAGAAGTTTCCTAACATCCTGATTGTTTATCCTCCCACACACACTCCAAACCCCATTTCTATCCTGATCCCTTCATTCTGCACTTTTCCCAGTCAGACCCCAACCTCAGGCCACTCTCTCGGAGCAGAGGAAGAGGAGAAAGGAAAGAAGAGAAGATATATAGGACAGAGGGAGGGGGACAGAGAGAGGCAGGGATGGAGCAGAGGAATCAATGCCAAATGACAGGACCAGCAGAGCTGACATCCTAAGGGATTATGGAGGTGGCCTAGAAAAATGCCAAATCCCCTCCCTGTTTCCCATCCCCACACCCAAGAGAACATTTACAACCAGCACATCTCTATGTCCTCTTTAAGGCCTCCAAACCCCACACTCCCTGTACCCCACTTTTTCTTGCTGTGGTGGGAATCAAACCAGGGTCTTGTTCTTGCTAGGCAAACACTTTACCACCTAGCTACATCTCTAGCCCAGACTCAACTTTTTATACAGACCCATGATTTAATCGCAATTCTTGTCTACCTCAGCCCTCTTTCTTTCATCCACCAACCAATTCAGGATAAATGTGGGATTCAGCCAGACTCATTTCTCCCCATCTCCTACCAGGCTCAGCTAAATCACATCTGCTTCTCAGGACCAATCTCCCACTGGCCTGGCGAGGAGCTGTGGGGAAACCGAAGCATGTTCCTTGAGCTCAACGCGTTCCCTTCCCCCTCTACCTCACCCCCATCCCCAACCTCCACAGCTTGTTCTATCTAATCTTGTCAAGCAAACACCCAGGATTTAAAGGCCCGTTCACTTTGGCACATTGGCTGGACACGTGTGTGGGAGGATGTGTCATCTGAGGGAAACTGAGTCACCAAAGGGCATCTCACCCCCAGTAATGTGGGTGAGCAAGAAATCCTGATTTCCACTCTCCCCTCCAACCACACCTCAACACACTTCCTGGTACCTGAATGCCTGCCCCTTTCTTGCTGATAACCACCATAACCCCCTTCCCTAATGGCTGAAGAGAAAGCCACAAGATGGTGCACTGAAGGCCGCACAGGAAGTGGCAGGAGGCTCAGAAGCCAGGCTGAGGTCCTGAAGAGAGAAAAGAGCAGATGGAAGGGCTGAGGCATGGCAAGGGCAGGGCTGGGCACCCTCTCCAGACCTCACCCCTCCAATCCCGCATCTCCTCCTGGTCCCTGAGCCTCTGTTCCCCTGTTGCTCTCTTCTTGGTCGCCTTCCGTCTCCCTTCCTTCCTTCCTTCCTTCCCTGTCACTCATTCTTAGGCTCCCTGACTCTTTGGCTGTGTGCCTCCTCTCTTCTCACTTTTCTTCCTGATTTTCCTTTCATTCCTCCCTTTCTTTTGCCTCTACCTTTACCCTTTTCCATCCCCTTCTTCTCCTCCTCCCACATCTCACCTCCCTCTCCTCCACCTCAGCTTTCCTTCTCACCACTCACTTGGTACCCCCACACACCCACTTCTGCCCTTCCCTGCCTTTCTCCCTTCCTTCCACCTACCTGAGCCCTCTGCTCCAACCCCTCCCTCCCACCCTCTCTCCATCCCTCTGACAGCCTCACCCAGCTGAATTTATCTGCTGTCTGCCAGAGAGGGCAGCTCTGGTAACCCACAGCCCAGCGGATGCAGGCACAGGGTATGGATGCAGAGCAACACGCAAAAACATACGTGCTCGGAATTGCTGAGCTGCAACCAACAGTTTTTCCCCAGGATGGGATGGAAAGGATCCAGATGGATCTGCCACACACCCTTAGCGTGTGCACACCCCAGTGAGAAAGGAAAATCATTGAGATAAGTATACCACCTCTCGGGGCAAGTCTTTCTAAGACCTAAGATATCTACTAGTATGGAGAAATTGGGGGAGAGAGGAGAGAAGCAAGAGACCCCCCCCCACCCCCAAGACAGGAATGGTAACCAAATAGGAGCAGGATGACTGGCAAGAGAAGCACATGGGTAGAGATGGGTTAGAGAGGAAGATGTGGCTCTGGGAAGTGAGAAGGAGGGGTAGGAAACGGGTCTGAGAAAATGGATAAGAACAGGGATGGTCAGAGAGGAAGGGCCACCTGTCAGGTGCCAGAGAGTCTCAACACCTTCTTCCCACCCCACCCCCACATTGCTCTGCTTGATACCTTCATTCAGAGCCCCCACCCCCACCTCACTCACCTTTGTTCCCAGAGCTGGGTGGGAGCAGAAAGGCCAGCAAGAGGGGCAGCAGCAGGAAGGTCATGGTGTGGGTGTGGGGCAGGGCCAGGCCAGGCGATCGCTGTCCCCTGGGAGACTCAAGTCTGCTAATTCCACCTCAGAGGAGAGATGTCGGGGCTCTCCACAGAGGGGAGGGCAGCAGGCAGTGACAGAAAGGAGCCTGCTGCCCACGCTAGTCCATAAAGCACACGCTGGCAGACCCCAGTCTCAGTGGCTGAGATGAGGGACTTGCAGTGGCTTCTTCTCTTCCCTCTTGAGCCCAGCGTCCTCACTCTCTCACTCCCACCCCATCCCCGCTACTGCAGGATGACATCAGCACAGCCAGGCAAGGATTGATGAGGCTGCTGGCCAATCGCGTGACTGGGGGTGCCAGGTGCTGCAGGGAGGGAGGGAACCAATAGGACTGGGGAGCAGGGGCGGGAGAATGTGTTAGGGCTTTTTCCCCTGACTGCAATTTGGGGGAGCAGAGGAACTGCGGGGGTTGGGGAGGAAGCAGGAAAGCCATACAGGGGATGGGAGATAAGGGGGACATTGAGAGAAAGGAAAAGCTAGAAGCCAGGGATGGGGAAGGGAGACATCCACCGAGACCTGAGACCCGAGGTGGCCAGAAGGGGCGGTACCCACATCACCACACCCCCAACTCTGCATTAACCTCTTTTCACAGCACTTTCCATCAGCAAGTCCCTGCTGTGTGCTTCTGGGAACTGCTAAGTAAAATCTTCAGTCTGAACATGAGAAATCCTAGAAATTTTAAGTCCCAGTCCAGGTCTCTGTAGAAACCATAGGAGAGTCATCAGGGTCATGAAAAGCTCCCTGGGACTGGAGCAAGAATGAGATGTTTGTGCCTGCCTCCCAACACTCACACCCCTGTTGGGACAGTTCACCAGCAGCTTTTTGTACTGCCTACTCTCTCTACCTCCCTCTCCAAATTTCCCAACTTAAGCCATGATAGAACAGCCCAGGAGATTCTGAAGCCAGGGAATTTGGCAGGTTTGAGAGAGAAATGTGCAGTTGGGGGTGGAACATACAATAATTTAGGGGTCCTCTACACCATTATGCGAACACATTTGGTAAAAATGAGCTTTTCAAGGGTGGGGGGGGTGTGTGTGGTATCATTGGCAACTCAAGACAGAAATTCTGGGTCTTAAGCCAAAGAGGATAAATTTCTTCAGAATAATCAGACAGATCCCTCCCACACCTGCTCCAGACCTTGAACTCAATACCCATGAGGATGCTGACAGTCAGTTTCTCTGCCACCCTCTCTACAACCTAACAGGACCAAGATCCTAGAATACCAGTTTGGGGTCCCAGTTCAGCCAACTGTCTGAGGGAGCTGTGAGACTAGGGCTCCAGGGCTTTCTGCACTGTGGCTCCTGGCCAGCTGGCTGTTTCCCTCCCTCCTCCCCACATACCTTTCAATATCCCTGACTCAGTCTCAGGATCTCAGGATACTCCTAGAACTCATTTATCCCCATCTGACTGAGTCAGGGCAGCCATGGCTGCATCCTCTGGGGAAGGCTGCCCCCTCAGGATTCCAGGAAGGTTTCAAAGCCTGCTAGAAATGGGGTGGAAGCCAAAACTGACTTTTGGAAAGGCTCAAGTTTTAGATGATTGACAGTCCCAAATCCTGCCCCAAGTTCCTTCCTCAGGAAAAGCTGAGATCAGGCTCAATTTTGCCAAGTCCCAGACTTTCCATCAAGCTGTAGACACCAGCCCCCAACTCGTCATGGGGGAGGGAAGGCTGGTAAAGACTCTTATTGCAACAGGGCTCAGCCCTATAAAACCCCTGGCCAGGGGACCTTTCCACTCTCCTGTGTGTTTGTGGAGGACTGGCCAAAGTCTGTCAGCACTCTTTAGCCTCTTCGCCCGCCTGCCTGTGTCTCCTGTATTCTCCTGAAATCTTGATCTCCATTCTGACCAGTGGAACAATGCCTCCCAACCTCACTGGCTACTACCGCTTTGTCTCCCAGAAGAACTTGGAGGATTACCTGCAGGCCCTAAGTAATGACCTCACCCTCCCATACCTCTTTCACTTTCCTTCTCTCTCCCTTGATACTTCTAGTTCCCCCTAAGAAGGGGGCACACTGGGGTTGGATTTTGTGGCTCTGTCAAGTGGCAGCTGACTTGAGATTCGTTTCCAATAGTAGGTGGGTAAATCCCCAGTGCCAGACTCTACTAAGGGAGTGCTCAAAGCCACAGGCCGGGCGCTGCTACGGCAGGGGAGTACCTGGCTGGGTGGCAGGTACCTTGCTAAGACTTAACCCCCACAGACATCAACGTGGCCCTGCGGAAAATAGTGTTGCTGTTGAAGCCAGACAAGGAGATTGACCACCAGGGCGACCGCATAATAGTGAAGACGCTCAGCACCTTCCGCAACTATGTCATGGAATTTGAGGTGGGAGTTGAGTTTGAAGAGGACTTAAGGATCGTGGATGGACGAAAATGCCAGGTACTTTCTCTCAGGCTTGGGGGGGAGAGGAAGGACAAGCCAGTGCCTCCTAATAGTGTGGACCAAAACAAAGGATCCTCTCTCAGACATCAGAGCCAGGGAAAATGACCACCACAGCAGGCCATGGGGTCCTAGGGTACCAGGCTCTGGGACTAGAAGGTTCTGCTCCTCCCCTCATTTCGTCCTTCACTCCTGCTCCCTCTTATCATCTCCCAGAGGAAAAAAGAGCAAGCCACCCAAGGGTAAGCAAACATTTGTTCTATCCTGTGACACTGTGGGTTACCACAGTCTCTTCTCTATAACCCTAGTCTTCTGTGGCTTTCCCTACTTCTTCCAGGGTCTTTCTTGGTCCCCTTAGTTTCCTTATTTATCCCTTAAACTGGGGTTTTCCTCACAGTGTTTCATTCTTGACCTTCTTACCTGTACACCATCCATGGGCTAAATCACCTACATCCAAGCTTTCTGCTACCATCTATAAACTGTCCTTGACATTCATTTCCAGCCAGAGCCATCTCCTGAGATCCAGGGTGATGTTTTTAACTGCCTGAAAAATATTTCCATTTGTGTGCCTCAAGGTCAAACTTGAATTCATTATCTTCCTATCCAAACCTACTCCACTTTTATATTTACTTTCTCTGTTAATGGCAATAACCAGTCAACCAGGAGATGCAGTTGATGTCTCTTGTTTCCTTACTCTTATGCCCCCCAAACCCACAACCTCCACATCAAGAAGACTTTACAGGGTTGGGGCTGTAGCCCATGTGAGGCACTAGGTTCAATCCTTAGAACCACATAAAAAAATAACAAATAAAATTCTGTCCATCTACAACTACAAAAAAATTGTTTATAAAAAGAAATCTTTATAACTTTTTTGCACTGTCCAATATAGTAGCTACTAATTACATATAACTTCTGCACACTAACATGGAAGTAGACCAAGTGGAATTGTGCCATGTGTGCAAAATATACACTGGATTTTAAAACAATAATATTAAAAAAATTTAAACATCTCAAAATACACACACACACATATTTATACCAGGGATTGAACACAGGAGTGCTTAACCACTGAGCCACATCCCCAGCCCTTTTTTGTATTTTATTTAGAGATGGGGCCTTGCTAAGTTGCTGAGGCTGGCTTCAAACTTCTGATCCTCCTGCCTCAGCCTCCTGAATTGCTGAGATTACAGGCATGTACCACCATGCCCAGATTCAGAATATTTTTACTATTGATAACATGCTGAAATTATAACATTTTGAATATTAGATTAAATAAAATGTTATTAAATTTAAGTAAGCTGGGTATGGCCATGTACTCCTGCAATTCTGAGCAGGCCTACTCAAGAGGCTGGGGCAGGTGGACCACAAATTCAAAGCCAGCCTGGACACTTTAGCAAGATGCTATCTTAAAGTAAAACAAAAAGGCCTGAAGGTGTGGCTCAGTGATAAATCACTAGACTTACATGCCTGAGGCCCTGGGTTTACCCCAGTTCTGCAGAAAATAATTAATTAAGTTTTCTTAATAAGTCTCATATAAGCACTAGACACCATTGAGCACATCCCAAGCCCTTTTTTATATATTTTAATTAGAGACAGGGCCTCACTGAGTTAGTTGCTTAGTGCCTCACTTTTGCTGAGGCTGGCTTTGAAGTCACAATCCTCCTGCATCAGCCTCCTGAGCTGCTGGGATTACCGGTGTATGCCACCCGTGCCTGGCATTAAATGTGGCATTTTATTTCTGTTGTTCATCATTCTTCTAAATGTGTCTTATCCATTCCCTCCTAGTCTTTCTCATTATCAGCACCTTAATTTTCTCACTGGATGCCCTAAATTAGTCCCCAATCTTAAACCCCCTGGAAGCCATTCTGTGTACTATAGCCACAGGATCCTCTAAAATGTAAGAGTGACCATGTCTCTCCCTGACTAAACCCTTTGGTGAAGATCTATTACATTTCAGATAAAGCCCACATGCTTCACAGAGTAGACCAGCTCCTCATTGCTTTCCCATGTACCGAGTTAGGGCCCTTGAGAACTATCTGCTCTCCGTTCTTAATTCTATGCTATTTGTTTCCTTGCAAGAAATTTCCCATTATCTCCAATCTACTTAACTCCTAACTTCCTTGAAGATTTGCCTTTTCCCTCCCTCTTCCATCCTCAGGTAATAGATACCTTGTTTAGCAGACATATCCTCTGGGAAGGCTCCATAAATGTTGATGAAATGCCCAAGCCTACAGGGGATGATCCTTCAGTCCTAAGGACAGGTTAACTGAGAATGAGAAGAAAGGAGAATACCTAGGAGTAACTCTCAACCAATCTTTCTTCTTTCTGAAAAGATAAGTCAGTGGTATCCAGAGATACCAAAGTTTCCATTCTTCATCACGCCCTCCCCAGTTTCACCCTAGTTATCCTCCTCCTCCCCTGCTCTCCACCAAAGGTTGCCATAGATAACTGTGAGCCTCTCTGAAGGCTTTTAGGATCAGGGGGCTGGAGTCCTGCTGAATCAGAGCATCTGTCTCAGAATGAAGGGACCAGAGAAAACAGAGTAAGTTGAGAAGTCTTTGGGTGTCCTTCCCCCCAATTTTCCTTTATTCCTGCCTTCCCCTATAGACCATAGTAACCTGGGAGGAGGAGCAGCTGGTGTGTGTGCAGAAAGGGGAGGTCCCCAACCGGGGCTGGAGACACTGGCTGGAGGGAGAGAAGTTGCATCTGGTAAGTTGGGGGGGGGGGATGCTGGGAGAGGGACCTCTTGTCCAAAACCAGAAAGTCTATTCCTCCACCCCAACCCACCCTCACTGTCTGCTCCAAGGAAGTAGGGCGGGGCACTTGTAAGAGTAGGGAGAAAAAGATAGAGTGGCCAAGGTGGGTCCTGGCTAAAAATCAGATGAATACCCACAAATCATAACTGGAGATATGGAAACCACCATTTCATCTCCTGACCCAGCGACCTTCCTTCCTCTGGGGTGAAAAATTGAGGATTTGAAACAATGATACAATTCCCCATACATCAAATGCTTTAGCTGCTGTATCCTGAGGGATTAAGTGAGGTCAGGGACTGTGAGAAGGTCTGAGTCCCAGCTGGTGAGAACCCTCTCCTCTTAACTGTCCTCCTTTACCCCCAGGAACTGACTGCGAGGGATGCCGTGTGCAAGCAGGTCTTCAGGAAGGTCAGATAGCCAGAGAGGAGCCAAGGCCCTCCCGACAGCACCAATCCAGGCCCCTCTTGTTTGTTCCCTTTTCAAGCCCAGCTTGTGCCAGGTCAGCGTCCCCATCTCGGCCACTATCCTCCCTGTGGGTCCCTCCTCACCCCATGTTAATTGGTAACCTGCAGCCCCCAGGTCAAAGTCTTTTTTCTCACACACTCCACTGCTCAATAATGGCCCCGCTTCCAGTTCAAGGTCAGGCCTCCTGGATGGCAGAAGAAGGCAAAGGGGAAAGGACCCTTGAGAGTAACTGACCTCCATTCTGTAGTTAATTTGGCTTCTTATTTTCCATCTAAGGAAAAAAACTAGACTTTAGGCATTCAAATGTTCTTGAAAATTCTATCCCAGTAGATCTTTTGGAAAACCGTGACTGGTTCAAGAGTTTAAATGTACTCCGCTGTTAGAGACTTCTTGTTTGTTTCTTTGTCTTTATTCTCAAGAAAGCCTCAAGTACTCAACAAAACCCAGTCAGAGGCATGGCCTTAACCACTCAGTCCCACGGATGCAGCTTACTGACATCTGAAGACATCCTGGCCAGTTTCCCCCACGTGTTGGGGAAAAGGGATGGGACTGGGTGAGACTTTTGGCCAGTGATGGGGAGTCTGGGAGCTTCCAAATAGTGCCCTGGCCTCTGTGTCTACTTTGGGAAAGACAGGCAGCAAGAAGGACTGAAAAGGGAAGCAGGGGCTAGGGTTGTGGCTCAAGTGGTAGAGCCTAGCACACTTGAGGCCCTGGGTTCGATCCTCAGCACCACATAAAAATAAAATAAAGATATTGTGCCCACCTACGATTAAAAAATAAATATTAAAAAAAAAAGAAAAAGAAAAGAAAAGGGAAGCAGATAGAGGATGCAAGGCCAGGGGATAAAGAGGTGAAGAAAACATGCAGGTGTGCAAGCAACAGTAGCAGAAGTGGCTGGAGCGACCTCTGCTTGAAGACCAGCAAACCTGGAGACTGAGCACAAGGGAGAGAGCTGAAGACAGCAGGCTCCTCCCCAAGGGTCCCAGACTCACTGACTTGGGAGACTGCCCAGAAGGGTGGAGCTGGTAGAGGGTCAGGGCCAGCTCCAGCCTGGTCTCTTCCCTGTCTCCAGGGGCCTTGGTTCTTTCAGAATAAAAGTCCTATAGAGCAAGTGTCAGAGAGTCTTCTCTGACATTTCTCAATATGTGGGTGGGAACAGAGCCTGGTGGAGGGGTGGAAAGTCCCTGGCCCTCAGCAGATGCACACCCTTGTCTCCTCTTCCTGCGATGGCTGAGTCCCCTACGCATACAAGAATTACTGGGGCTCTGGCAAGGATGGAGTCCTGTGCTATTAACCCTACCACATGCCCTGAAGTGAATTTGGAAAATAACTCAGAATTGGACTAATAGTATATTCCCTGCCCAGCCTCTCCACAGATGTCCCCAGCAGAGTGGGGAATGAAAAGTCTTTACTTTTCAAAGCCACCTAGCAGAGGCTCTGCAGGCCACTGGATCCTGCGCATCCCTCCCCAAAGCACAGGAACATGTTTGTGTGTACTTGCACATTGCCCAGGTCATGAGGTCTTCTAAGTATCCTGGTTCTCTGAGTTCACAGTGCATGTCCAAGCCTCTCCCCACAGGACTGTCCTTAGTGTTCTTGTCAGTTCAGTGTTCCTCAGTGCAATCTTGTCAGAGTTCCTGACTCAGGAACTGTAGGCCTCCAGGGTGGCTCTCCGACCCATGCTAAAAAGGGCTCAGTCCCTCAAAACTCCTGTGACATGGGCATCCAGAATCCCCCCACATACACACTGCAGGTCCACATCCTCCACTCAACTACATCCCTCCAGGAGCCAGAATCCAATGAGAGGTCCCCCCAAAGGAACACAAGCATCCTAGGATGCTGAGCAGCTTTAGAAGCCAACAGGAGCCTTGGCCTGCTGAGACTGGGGGAAGCCAGAGCTGCTGTTTCCCTTGTGGACAGCAGGGGGCACTATGCACTGCAGCAGAAGTCACATCCTTCAACTCGAACCCCCTCCTCTGCCACCTTCTTGGATATTAGCCCCACCCCTCTACACACACACACACACACACACACACACACACACACACACACACCAATTCCCAGCCCACAGACTCACCCTCACAAGGCCCTTATCCCTCATTCAAATCAAGCTCCATCCAGCAAGGGAGGGGGCAAGGGCCTTAGATGGTTGGATCTCACTCCAGGCCTTCCTAGAGCACATGAAACTGTAGAGTTGACTTTGTTGAACACAGTCTTAGACCTTAGGGATATGATCAGGAATCCAAAATGTTTATTGATGAACCCAGACTAATTCCATCTTAAAATTGGGAGCCATCTTGTCACAAAGTCATGAAAAGTTCATTTCTGTTTTACTATAAAATACTAAGATTTCTATTTGGCCTGACCATAATTTGATGCTTTAAAAACTTGCTTGGGATTTTTGCCCAGGTTTTGAACTTACCAGTGCCCATCTCTCCTTGACCAGATAACAACCCTCCCTGAAATCCCAGATGCTCCTCATTAACTTTGATGTTGGAATCTGAGTTTGTTCCCTACCTTGAGATGTAGATCATAAACCTGCTATCTGCCCTTGTATTATGCTTGCCAGAACCCTTTTAGCTGTAAGTTCCCAAGATACCCCCCTTTGTAACTTTTTGTGCTATAAAAACCTTCTTTTCCCAGAGAGCTGTGGCTGTCCTCTGGCCCTGTTTTTTCGGGTGAGGTAGCCTCTGGCCAGCTCTCTTTTGTGTACACAATATAAGCTTGCTTAAATTTGGTTTAAATTGGAGTCAATTGTCTTTTTTGCATTATGGTTCAACATTTATTTCCATATGATATGGAACAACTGCACTCTCCTAAGCCAGGTCCCTACCTCACTTCCACTCCACCAGACCCCGAGGCCAGGATACAACCAATGCTGCAAGACCCTAGCTCACAGAATAGGCAGGGCCCAGAATGGGCAGCTTTCAGGTCCTCGCCTGTCCTCAGATCTCAGTCACCAGGATAGACTTGGACCAGCACTTTGGGTACCTATGCTCCTTACTAAGTACCCACCCCCACCAGAAGCCACTTAGGTCCCAGGGGACTGAAATGAAGCTGACCTTTCACATCACTCTTCCAGCAAGAGCAAGGGGGACCTCTGGTTTTCTCAAGGGCTTCCAGGATCACTATCTAGCTGGAGGTGAGACTCCTCCTTCCCTCTATCCTCATTTTTACTCTGGCCACTAGGGAGAGGGGACAGTCCTCTGGGTCTCAAAAATAGTCAGGCCATTAGGCTCACAGATAAAGTACTTGCTTCAGAGCCTCTAAAATGGCATCCAAAATTGATCATGTGAAAAGGCTTTGGTATCAAACTATTATTAGCTATGTGAGCATATACAAGTCTCCAACCTTCAGCTAATAAGCTGCATATGCCAGTCATCCAAGGAAGTACTGAGAGTACTTCCAACCTCCAAGAAGTTTTGTGAAGATGCCATAAACCATCACCCAGCAAAGCACCAGGAACAGAGTAAGCACTGATAAATGTTCAACATCACTGCTAGTATTGCTCCCTACCTCTGCACTTAGTAACTGAAATTTCCTTAACTGGAAGCAAAGCCTTGTATTCTACAGTTGAGGATAAGGTGTCAATTGCCAATACCTCTGAGATTACACAGTGATGTATCTGTACCAAAGTGTAAGTGACCATAGCAGACAAGTGGGGATGATATAGCTCTTACCCTGCGGCCCAGGCAGGGAGATTGTCTGGGGGTGATGGGGGCAAAGGGGAGTTGTTGCTTTCCCCTCAGCCTCCAGAACCAGATTCTCCCACTAGATCCAACCCCTTATCCCCAGGAGAGGACAAGAGTGTTGCTCACAGAGCACCTGTGCTAGCATTAGGGAGGCTACTTCTGCTCCACCCCTGTTCTCCCACAGTGCACACTAAAGCTCCTCCACTGGAGGTGCTTGATTCCTGGTGCTGGTCACAGGTGACCAGGCTATGTCCAGGCCGCAGGCTCCTCCAGTCACCAGCTGCAGACTCAGTCATTTTTTCCTTGACCCTCTTGCTCCCAGATCTTTGTCCCCACCTGTAACCAAAAGCTCAGTCCTTTTCCCCAACGTCAATTCAATAACGGGAACATGGTTTTGACAAAAAGGAAAAAGAATTTTTATGGCTCTGCTACCAAAGGAGAAACACAAGGGACTCCTGTCCCAGAGGCTGTGATTCTGCCCATCTGGAGGAACAGGGGGATTTTAAAGGAGATATTCAAAGGCTACATTCCAGGTGTGTCCTGACAGGGGGTCCCAGGGCAGGCTGGTGGTGTGTTAGTATTCACTTGTTAATTTGGGAGATATTTACTTGCTAGATCCTCTAGCTGATATCTCTTTCCTGTGGAGCACAGATAACTCAAGGTAATCCTGTTCCCAGCCCCCAGGTTAGGAAGGGGAGAGGGAAAAGAGGAAAAGGAAAACATGTCCCTTTTAAAAATAAGCCTCAGGGCTGGGGCTATAGCTCGGTGTCAGAGCGCTTGCCTAGCATGCGTGAGGCACTGGGTTAGATCCTCCGCACCACATAAAAATAAACAAATAAAATAAAGACATTCTGTTCATCTACAACTACAAAAAATTTAAAAATAAATAAATAAAATAAGCCTCAGGGCTATATTCAAAAGATGAAGCGGACCACTACACACTGACAACAAACCAGCACCCTTACCCTGCCCTGGAGTTGTTTCTCACCCTTTCCTCTTAGGAGGCTTCCACCCTCCTACTGACCCTGATTTGCAGAATGTCTTAACTCCTGTCTACACCAGCTCAAGCCTTCCCTCCTCTGGTTAAGCCTGGTTTGGGCCCCCCAGCCCTAACCCACAAATGAGTGGACAGGCCCAGGGTCTACATAAGTGGACCCTGAACGATCTTCTTTCACATATATGTGCATAGCCTGTACGAGTCTTTCTGGTACACACCTCTTCTACATACTGTCTGTGGGGACGTGTGTGTATCATAGCGTG